ATCTGTCAGAAATGGTATTGTCGTCGTCTAGTAAACCACTGATGAATCCTAAGCATCTATCAATAGGAATACTACTGTATTATGTTACAACACCATAGCTTACCATGATTTCATTCTTTCCGATGGTTAATTCCTATATTTTTGATTTAAATTCATTGGGCGAATCTTTTGTTAAATTATGTAAGTTAACTAGTAGTGCTCAATTTATTCGAAATTATCAAGTCAAACCTTGGTAATGATACCTATAGTCTGACAAAGTTCGTCCATGAGATTACTGAAATACAGTCGTTAATTTCATTGAAGTTTCTTCCGCAATTGAACTCCAAACCGTATCAACCTGCTAACCGCGTGTATGTTCGTAGTCTCATTCTTCAAACGTTGTGACAAGTCGACTTGAGAATGTTCAACGTCCAAGATACCAGTCACTTTGATAATGTGTCTATCGCTATAATTAATTAGGTGTCCGGAACACACTAGAACTGATAAGAGAGAAAAATAATCAATGACAATTAAAATCGTGAGCCTATCCAAGTGAATGATTGTCGGTGTTTATTACTGGTAATAGAATAAATAGAGATTGAGGAAACAAACTTGCGTTCAGTCAAAATGACACGTTCCTACAAACACTGGATCAAGTGTCTGAATAACGGTTGACAGATAGTAAAAATTTAATACGGTTTTCTTGACCTCGCAAAATGATCTGACAAAATAAGTCGTACTATTAAAATGTTGACAAAGGCTTACAATAACAATCTTTCTTCATAACATTGATGTGTTTTTCAATGTCTACGTTAAAAAAATGCTAATCTGCATTGAATATACGACAACAATTGTAACAGGTATTATTCCCAAACGATGTCACTCACAATTTGGGAATTACCTGAATACACGATAATAGGTATTGATTAAAGATAATCGACTGACATGATCAGATATACTAGCATGCATATAACAGTAGTACGAACAGATCAAGACAACAAGATCTTAGTGATTGGATGTGCAGTGAATAAGACCGTTAAGACTTAGTGTTGTGACTGTATACTGAAGATGTAGCCAAGCTACAGTTTTTCGAGAGATTTTGTGTGAGCATCTATGGTCTCTGGAAATGCCGATAAAGTTTTACGTAATTACATAGTCCTGTTAACCCTCGTCGTAGGGCATGTGCTGCTCAACAGCATTCTCCACCCATCTCTGTCATGAGCGTTTTATATCGTTTCTTTCCAGTTGCTATTCATCCTACTCATGTCTGCTTCCGAATCTCGACGCAGTGTTCGTCGGCCTTCATCTTTTTCAATAATAATAATAATAATAATGATTTAATCTCAAATAACAGTTTGTTACATGAGGCATGCCAGTTTACAGGCAAGATCAAATTGTTACAAATGATACAATACACACTGTAGTAAATTACTCGGCTGGGTTGATAATTTATAAGATATTACTGTAGATGGTTTTAGTCAGTATCACAGTTGGCACGCTTCATGAAAGTTGCGTTGCGAATGTGCAATTGATGGTCAAGGATAGGTCCATTGGAGGTGGGAGCTTCTAGAAATCGCAACCATATGTTTCTTTGGAAAATCTAAGGCTTTAAGGATGGTGCAGGATGAAGTCACCCGTTCCACATCTCAAAGGTGCTGAAAGAGGGAGCAAGTAAAATAAAAGACGAGAGGCAGAGTAGCCAACATTCATGAGGGAATGTTTAAGGTATGATTACCCGGTCTAATTTTCTTTTATTAAGGTATTTTTTAAGGAAGAGCATTTTGATATGAGTGGACATACAACTGACAAATGGAGGCGATTCAGAAAGGAGCTGAGAGTATGGGATTATGTGTGGTTATGAAATATAGCGCTAAAAACAGTATTGTGATGAACAATTGGCTATCCTTCTTTTTTTATCGGAGCTATTGGAGCCCTTTTCATTTTTTTGGGTATTATTATTATTTTCTAGGTGTCATAGGGTCGTGAGTGGGCTTCGTATATTAGCGAATTGTCTGGTCTGCTTGTAATAAGATTACTGGGTATGAAGTGAAACCAATTCAACGTTCGTAACACGATTTATTGAGATAGTTTGCATGATAAATCAGCATTAATAACTAACGTTCGTGAAATCCCACTAAACCATAAGGAGCCGTAATTGAACAAAATGTTCTGCCCTACAGACATGGGTGGACTGAAGTTTTCTCCCCACCATCATGTTTGCTGGTCAGTAACGCCACGCTCATATCCTTTCATTTATCCCCATGATTCAAAGTAAGCACTAGCTTCGTGCTGCAGTTTCATGATTTCCTCTATGTGTGTCCCATTCACTTGCAACGTCTTTTCCTAATTTCCTCTTCAAATGGAAGCTGGTTTGTCCTCTCCCACAGTAGGCTGTTGATGATCGTATCCGGTCAACGGACATTCAGTATCTTACTTAGACCATTGTTTGCAAATACGTATACTACTTTGATGATGATCATGGTAGCTCTCGACGTTTCGGCTCCATACAGTAGAACTGTCTTGAAGTTCGTATTGAAGATTGTGTCTTTGATATTGGTCGACAGTTTGTTGATTTGAGTTCCACATGTTCTTCAACTGTAGGAATGTTGCCCTTACTTTTCCAACCCTCACCTTAACATGCTCATCAGGTCCACATTGCTCATCAATGACGCTGACCAGACACGTGAAATTTCAACATCTCTCAAAGTCTCTCCAACAAGTATGACTCGGTCGATGTTTTCGATGTTATCCTGCTTCTACTCTTGTGTTTGTTGGGGTTAGAGAAATACAAGGAATGATTTAGATGTAAACAAGCTGACATGGCTAGCCAACACATCATTTTACTATGATATTATAAGTTATTAATTTCGATATCTTAACTAGCAATACACAGAATTTTCAATTCGTACTCCATCAGTCACGCACAGACCAGCATTCAATTTAGACAGAACTTGTTCTGATAACCATTACCACGTAACTCTTAACAGTGTATGCATTTCTGAGCATAATACGAAGCGTCAAGCAGTTCATTTCACTGAACCACAAACACACACAACGAATTCGAGCAAAAATGCAAGTGTGAGTGAATGCTGACGAGCGAATACACAGCCAAATTAAAAGTCGAGTCAATTGATAAGATTCAAACATATATAGGGAAGTGAACTATTCATGATCATATATATCGAATTATTATTTCGCTCAATACTTTGTTCTTGTAAACTTTGACAAAATAAACGATACTACGTGTGTGATATGAACCATGTAACAGCCTGCTGAAATCTCTAATCATGCAACAGATTCTGACGTCAACGTCAAACACTTTGATTGATTCTCAAGTTCCAAATTGGAATCAATTCAATATTGACATTAGAAGGCCAAGTCAAGCACGAACACTGAAAAACAAATAAACGACCTGTCAACATAATCCTTAGATCAGTTTAAACATCATAAGTAATTCAGTTTGCAGACCTTGATTCATCAGGTTGATAGGGTAGCCACATCCTTCGACGTATCATAAAACATGTAGTAATAAGAATCATTTAATAAACAAACTGTTGGGTCGGCTTCCGGAGAACTTCAACGGAGCCTCCAGAGGCCCACAAGGAGCCGAAGAGTCCTGGCCAATCAGAGTGTGATGGAACGTTCTAGAATTCCAACGTGACGTGCTACTATTGGTCGGTAGCATAATGTGTTGTTATCGGATTGGCTGTAAAATGATGTTGATTTAACAGACGCCAAAATCTATAGATACCCATGATTTTCTGTACAAAAATGAACCTTGGAATAAAGTGCTTTCTCTCATTCTTGTGTCTTCTCTCTGGAGTTCAAGTCGCTGTGTAGTTCTAGACTGCGGGTTACCGAAATAGCTTAGGAATCGTATATAGCGTTCAACCTTACACCACTTATCAGTGGCGACGGGGATGAAAACTCCAATGAATATTTCCTTGGAGCAATTAGAAGGTTATATGGTGCGTCAAGAAAAGAGGTTTGAAGAGTCCCATATTAGAATCATGGAAACCCTGATGCAGAAATTCTGCCTGTCCGAGAAAAACCCTGCTTCTAGTGAATCTCAAGTATCACATACTGATTCAGTCATTAACGCCATCCATGAATTTAATTTTGATGGTGTATCAGGTGTAACTTTCGAGTCGTGGTTTAAGAAGTATGAAGATTTGTTTTATATTGATCTTTGCAAACTGGATTATGCTTCAAAAGTCAGAATACTTCTTAGAAAACTTGGTACTATGGAACATGAACGCTATAGCAACTTCATTCTTCCGAAGAACCCACGAGATTTCATTTTTGATGATACAGTCAAAACCCCATCCCAAATATTCGGAGAACAATCATCTCTATTTAATGTCCGTTACCAGTGCTTAAAGTTAACAAAAGAACCAGGAGATGATTGGGTGAAGCATGCAGGAACTGTGAACCGAGAATGTGAGAGATTTAAATTGTCGTCCATGTCTGAAGATCAGTTTAAATGCTTAGTATTTATCTGCAGCCTGCGTTCACCCGAAGATGCCGATATCCGAACCAGAATCCTAAGCAAACTCGAACACTG